ACTGTGTGGAACACTCCCATGGCACTCAGATTGGGAATAATAAAGGGGAGGTTCTTTGTTTAAATTCAAAATGGCCTCAAAAAGAAGTTGGCTATATTTACATCATAATGAAGGAAGGAAATTCCAAATTTCAAATTGTGAAAGCATTTTAGCTTAAATGCATGATGTCTTTAATAATGGAAGGTCTAAATAGATGGTGGGTCAAATTAGAAAATATTAAGATAGTGCTAAATATTTAAGTAAAACAGTACAGGTAGTCGTCAACCTACGACCACAATTGGGACTGGAATTTTTGTCACTGAGTGATGCGGTCGTAAAGTGAGATGTCACGTGACTGCATCGCTTAGTGACTGCAATCCCGGCACTCCCCGCTGCCATTGTTCACCGAAAATTGCTGGTCATTAAGCGAGTATCCACCCCAATCCAAGCCATTCCAGGGTTGGTCCCTCCCAGCCCCAAGTCTCAATAAGGTAAGGGACCCCCTATCCTCCTCCCAATCTACCCTTTTGGCTGCCCTGCACCCTGCCTTGCGGGGCGGCAAGCAGCCACAGAACCGCACAGCTCTGAGGCTGCTTGCCACACCCCAGGGAGCCATAGCTGCTCCCGCCCAGCCACAGTCGCCCACACCACCCTGCACTCCAAGCTCCCTGCCACCCTGCGTTTTTTTTTTTTGCTGGGGGGGACACGAAGCCCTGCCCCATCCAGGAGCTCTTTGCAAGGGAGCTGTTTTGAGTTTCCCCCCCGCCCCCCACAGTGCAAAGCCCAGCCCCAGCCCTGCCCAGTAGCCAGGCTGGGCACGCCTCGTCAGCAGCGGGAGCAAGAACATGGAGGTCAGCTGGGGTGGTGGAGTGCAGCCATCAGGGGGCCAAAAGGGCATAGATGGGGGGAGATAGGCAGGTGGGGACGAGTTGAAGCATCCCTGCAGTCATAATTGTGGGCAGGCTACCAAGTGCCAAAATTTTGATCATGTGACTGTGGGGGCGCTGCAGTGGCTGTAACTTCAGGATGGGTCATAAGTCCCTTCATTCAGTGCTGTTATAATTTTGAATGGTCACCGAATGGATGGTCGTAAGTCAGGGACTACCTGTATTTTTAGAAAATATGCTGCCATCCTTAAAACTGATAATAGATTTACTCAATATAGGTTTAATATATGAAAATTATATATGTCTCTTTGAAAGCCAAATACTCTCCTAGGCTCGTTATGGAATTTGGGGGTCCTCCTAGACTTTTGGCTCCTTGAAGAGCATGTGATGGCTGACCTCATGGCAAGCTAGAGGTCCCTGTTTGAACGGGACGCTGTCTACAGCGAACGTGGCTGGATGAAGGATCTGAACCAGCAAAGTTTCTCCAGAGCAAGGGGCGGTTCCACCTGCCTTGAAGGTTTCTCCTGAGTAGCTTTCCAGGAAACACCTTGAAGATTTCAGATTGTTACCATCATCTCACTGTTATAATTTCATGCATTATTAAAACAAGTACATAGGACTGTTTATTTGGGGATATGGCTTTTCCAGAGAATGCATTCATTACTAACAAAAATATAGAAAAATATTTAGGACTTTTTTCATTATTTACTGGGAAGAATACAAGCGTGTAAAAAGCACTTTTATTAATAGCTGCTAGATTAGTAATAAGAAATACTGGTGAGATCTAGTAGGAGCATTTAAGAAAAAAAATGGTATAAAGTATGGTCTATTACCTGAACAAAAAATTTATATATTGAAACCAGTTGAAGAAAATAATCTTTTTTTTTTGTATGGTATGGTTTTATAAAATATTCTAATAATTATTAATGTGGTGGTAAGGTGGAAATACTGCATATTTAAGTATATTCAGGGTTATAGCCTGAATATACATATACGTATGTTGGGTTGGAAATCCAGAAAGGTGGATTTTAATTTGCAGAACCAAAAAAATTACTATTCAGGTAACTTACTGACTTTTAGAGTTTACATAGTTGCCCATTTCCGCCTTGTGTCTCTGAGTGGCTACAAAAAAACATAACATTATGAAAATAACAATACAATGTAGCCAAGGCCCCTAAAAGATGATCTTCCAATCAAACCCCATAGATGTGGGTTCTACTAACAGCCTGGCCTGGGGGAACAGCCTGGTCTCCACGTCTTCATGAACACAGAGTTACCAGAGATATCAGACAAACAGTTTATCCCGTTCCTCACTACAAAGAGCTGGATTTCAGGTGTCTTTTTCTTCCCA